AAAAAAAGGTTGTAAAATGGGGCAAAATTCACTTAGCAAAAGTTTCACTTAGCAACAGAAATGTTGGGCTCAATTGTGGTCATAAGTGGAGGACTACCTGTACTTCATAGGAGTATGAATTAGACACAGTTCCAACATTTAATGTATAAAATTCCTCTGATGTGTTTCAACATCTTAACTATTTCTTGGAGAATAAGTACAACACAAATGATAATTTCAGTAGAAAACAGGAATTCATAATCCTACCACACACACACACACACATATATTCCTGAATATTCAGAGACACTTAAATATGCTAATTCCAAATAATTTCCCATGCAGTAACTGGCAAAGGCAAACAGGTTTCAGTCCGAGCCAAGGTTATTCATTCTTATATTGTTACTTCAAAGCTACTGACAAAAATCATCTGCTCGAATTTGGGCGAAGAAGGACGCGGGCGGGGAATCCGAGGCAGCCACTGAAACAATTTACACAACGCAAGGAACAAAAACAGAGACGGCTCTCTCTTTTTTTTAATACAACGCTCCCTTAATTTAGGTAAAGGACAACCGAAGTGCTAAGGAAGCCGCTGCGGTATCACACTGCTGTCACACACAGAAAAACACGAGCCCCGCAGAAAACAGCCGCGGCTCCCTCCCGTTGCCCCGCAACCTTTCGCAAAGGAAGCCCTTAGCTTTCCCGCGAGAGATCCCGCCACGCACCTTCTACCTGGCAACACCTGCACCGGCCCTGACCTCCCCTGCGGGGAAGGCGCATCTTCTCCCCTCGCCCGCCCGGATGGTTTGAGCCCTTCTCCCCTCTCCCGGGAGCGGCCAACAGGCTGCTTACGGCCTCCGAGCCGCGGCGGGGCGAAGGGAGTCACCCCCCCAGGGCTGGAAGGGGGCAGAAGGAGCCGGACTCGGTCACCCTCTCGCTCCGCCACCTGCTGCTGCTGCTGCACGGCGCCCCCCCTCACCTGAGGACTGTCTTCCAGCGCCTCTTCGATAGGCAGCTTGTCTATCCCAGGCATGTCGGCGGCTGAGTCTTCCCAGGCCAGGCCAACCCACTCCTCGACGCACCCAGCCCGACGGCCCTGCTCCCGCCTTCCCCCGCGCCTCGGCGCACCCCGACAGGCCCGCTCCGCTCAGGAAATCCCGCCTCGCCACTTCCCCCCGGCCGCCCGTCCGGACAAGGAGCAGCCGTCAGCCAGGCTGTGCATTTTCCTATTGGATGGAAGGGCGGCCAGTCTGGCTGGGCGAAAAAAGAGGCGGGTGCCTGTGTCAGCCTCGCGGAGTTTTGGTTACCAGGCGCGGGGGGGGGGGGGGGGGGGGGGGGGATCTTGGGGGGCTTCCGTCCCATCGGAGGGCCGTTTTCTGCGGGGCAAAGGCTGTGACGCCTCTATATGCTGCAGGTAGCTGCACCCTGACCTCCGCTTGTGTGCGGGTCCTCCCTATTGTGTCGTGTTGCCATGATTCATCTAAAATTGTGGGAATTGGAGCTCATAAATATTAAGGTAGCAATGAGTTCATTTAAGGCTGATTGACAAGAGCTTAGTAAGGAACCTGATTTAGGGCAAATGGCAATTCAGGACTGCTGGTTGAGAATACTTAACTGGATATTAATTTACTTTTTCAGAAAGAATCTGAATCTCTGCTTGAGTTTTCCATGCTGGTTAATTTTCCCCCTGGTTTATGGAAGTTGATTGAGTTGGTTCTGAAAAAACAAACCATAGTCATCCTCAAATTGCTTACTGACCCTCTGCAGTGATATTTGGGACCTTGCAACTATGTTCCAACTATAGACAAGTTTCTTTTGTTTTTGAAGGCAACAAGGACTTATGAAGGAACTATGGAAAATGTCCACTTTACTTGCCTTAGATGTAACTGTTTCCCTTAAAATGTCCCAGATGACTACCTCCCAGTATATATGCTTATTATACTCATTTGGTACTGGGTTGTGTGAAAGGGACAATACATAACACCTTAATAGCTGGCAGCTTTTCAGTGATCTTGGTGGTGGATAGATTGCATGAATTAAAGTACAAATGGAGGCAACGGCAACAAAATCAAACTTTTGTTCTACTGTTATTTCTATTTAAACTGTGGTGTCTACTTTCTTTGTCATATCTCATTGTCTTCTCTTTTACATTAGCATTGACTTAGAATGGCTTTATTTTATTTTATTTTTTATTTTGTTTTATCTTTCTTTATATGGTTGCCCATCGCACCAAGCGACTCTGAATGAGGAAGAAAATTTTAAAAATGAAAACAATTACAATAATCAAACATTAAAATGCATAGTGGCCAAGACTAAATTACCCATCAAGAAACAGGTTTGTTGTTTATGCTAGCATTATTCTGCCTAATGCTTCCCTGTTAATCAGGGAAGTCTTGTAATACTCTAAATTGGTTGGTTAATGAGCACATTAATGAGAACCAGTTTTGCCCCGTGATTAAAACACCAGGTTTGAAACTGGGAGACTGAGATCTAGGCCTGCATTAAGGCATGAAAGCCAGTTGGGTGACTTTGGGCTGATCATTGTCTGTCTGCCCAACCCACCTCACAGGGTTATTGTTGTTGGGAAAATAGAAGGAGGAATGAGTATTAGGTATGTTTGCTGCCTTGAATAAATATAAGAAAGGCAGGGGGAAATAAATAATAAAAATAATTACCTCTCCTTCCAGTTCATTATCAATTGTGCACAGTGTTTAATCCAGGTTTATTGCTTATTGTATTTTCCAAACTTGAAGTTGTTGAGATTTTGGGTTTATAGAAATGGACTTGTAACTGATGATAAATCTTGGGTATATCTCTGTTGGAAACTGCCAGCCAGGCAAGGGAGTGGGATCAAGCGGGAAATTAGCTAGCCTTGAGTCTGTGGGCAGTTGCAAGAGATCTATGACAGCCCCCACTCCAAGTTCCATGGAACTTTATGTCTTTGTTCTCAATGAAGGGCAAGGAGTCTGGGGAGATTCTTGCAGTATAGGCAGAATACAATAAAGTAGTTAACTTGAACTCTTTCATGTGTGGATCCGGTGCTTTCCCTGACAATATCTTAAATTTCTAGAAACCTCAAACAGACATACCAGGATTAGGCAATAAGATAAGCCATAAACATTGGAGAACGGCACACAGTGGGAGTGGGATGGTAGTATGTATATGTGCTCAGTAATTGAGTTGGTCAGCTCAACATGCTGTACAGACCCTAACATACTATACAGTATATCTTTATATAAATGCCTGTTTCAAATAAAGCAGACTTCTTGACTTACTTTTATATGATTCTCCTCAAATGCTGGTTTCACAAAAATGTCAAGCTTCAGAATTAGAAATGAAACCAGAGGATGAAGAAATTGTACTTATCCGTATATCACCATCTATGTGGATAAGTACAATTTCTTCATCCTCTGGTTTAAATTAATAACAGCTGGATGGCAATTATTACCCTGTTAAAAAGTAACACACATTGAATAATTTAAGAAAATGTTGTATAATATAGGTGAACCAAAGTCATAAGATTAGGAATGACTTCAGTATCAAATATTTATTATGTATCATATGAAGTAACTTGCAAAGATAAGCCTTTTAAAAAATAAATTATTAACTAAGATGTATTTATATTTGTTTGTATTCTACTTTTTCTCTGTTTAAATTTAGCTAGATTGCCAAGTATTTTTCTATACTGGCAATGGTTTAACCTTTCTTTTTAAAAAAAAATAATATGAGGAAAAGGGAAGAAATAAATAGATTACATTCCCAGCACAAAATCTACTATTTGCAATTAGTCTTAATACATATCTATCTGGCATTTTTACAGACCAGAGTAAAATTCCTAAACTACTGGTGGACCATGGAAATATGAGCAGGAGGGTGTTAGACTCTATTCAGACCCATTAGATATTCTAGACCTCACTGATTTGACTATTCCAGCCTCAGGATAAAGTAAATATACAATATTGCTAGTATAGCCTCAAGACAAACCCATATATATTATTGCTAGCATAGCATATAGAATCATGGCTTGAATAATAAAAAGAATTGCAATCAAGAAGTTGGATTTCTGTCTGCTGTACTAGTTGTTCATGGCCCACATTTATTGTAATGGTAAGAAATTATTTGTGCAGCGACTTCAGAGAAGGCTGAGAATGTGTATACCTGATTTAGTTCCTGTAACTATTCCTTTCCACTTGGGCAGAGCCTTCACAACAGAGCTCCCTCATGACCAACAAGCATTCTTTTTCCAACTACACAACTTCTCTTAGATGTTCTGGATATAAAGCATAAGAACAGAAAACTGACAGTCATGTAGTCTTCAAAATTATTTCAAAACTCCTTTATAAATGTAGTTGGACTTCCAGCAAAAGTATTGCTTCTCAGCATCTGGCTTGGCAAACCGAGAAAGAGTGATGGGGAATAGAAAAATAACCTGTTCCCTGGCCAATATTTGGGAAATGTTGACAAAAGGAGTTTAGACTCTTGTTTTATAGAAAATTTATTTCCCTTTTTTCCCTTCTAAATGCAATCCATTTGCAAGGCATATAATTATCAAATAAACTGTTAACTAATACAACATTGACTGTTTTTTCTCTTTAACTTCCATCTTTTAGGCTAGTAACAATTAAGTCCTTTCCAGTTAAAATAGGAGTTCATGAACACTAGGTGGCAACATTACAGAGTTGTACTGCAGTTAAATATATTGTTTCAACAAAATATAGTAATTATTGGTTTATAAAGAAAGATCTAGCGAAAAAGTAACACAACCATTTTACTCTTGCAATATTTGTCTTGCTTCTTACATTTCTAACAATACAGTTGAAGATTGCCCCTTGAAACAAAGTGGTTTTTATCAAGAATATTCCCTGCTTCCAGGTATCAATGTAGATTTCAAATTCATCAATACACACATGCTCTCTCGCTCTGCCTCTCTCTCTCTCTCTCTTACACACACACACCCCACCACCCCCACACACTTTGTATCAAGTATTACCCACAACTAGACACACACTTAAATTTGAACTACTTTCCAGTGACAAAAAATATTAAGGTCTGTCAACTCTGAAGCACTGACAAGAACCAATGAGATGCTTGAATGTGGAGTAAGTAAAACTAGGCAACCCAAGAACAAAAATGGATAAAGAAGAAATGAGTATATTTGCCCAATACTTAGGATAAGCCTTTACAGGAAATAATCTGATAAATATATGTGCAATATTCCTCATAGATACAACAGTGACCAGTGTTTGTGGAATTACGATGTAATTCCGGCCATAACTTGCTGAGACCCAATGGCCCATGTTGCTATCAGAAAATAGTTAGACCACTATTTTAAAGTTTATTTCCGAATTTACTTCTTAGTTTTTTCTTGATACAAGGGTAGAAAATTGACAATTTTCCAATATGCTTATAAAACAAATCAACATTCTTCTCAGTTTTTACAGCTTTACATAAAAAACATACAGCTTTAACATACAAAATTAAAAAGGCAAATGGGGAAAAAACAAAAAAGTAAAAAATATATAATAAACAGCTGTTTTAAAATACTGTACATTACATTTGACTATAAAGCATACTTTTGATCAGTTTTTCCATTTTGTCTATGTTTCAAACATAAAAAATTAAAAATTTCAAAGATTGTAAATCTGTAGTAATTCAACTGTCCCTTCATGACAGAAAAATATTTTTTGTTATGCTACATGCTTGGAAATCCAATTCTTCGTACTTATGAGTTTCAAATGTTTGGTATAATAGTTCAAAGTTGCATTCAAATCTTTCAATGTTATTACTCTTCAAAAACATATTTATAAACTTATGAATATTATGTCATAGTGTCCTTTTCATGTTATACTTTCAATGTAAAGAAATTGACAGTCAACTCTTTCTGAACATTATTTGAAATGTAAACAGGAAAAAAGTGGTATTTGATTGTTGAATTAATCTCTTCTTAAGAACGAAGAAACATACTCAATACTGTATTCTTTAAGGCTTTGATTTGAAGAAGAAAAAACCGAGCAAGTCTATATTCCAGAATATAGACTTGATGTCTATCTTAAAATAGACATCAATATTTGATGTCTATCTTAAAATATTCAGTAATTCCTACCCTGGTCAGTTCCCATTTGGAATGTGCTCTACATGGGATTGCCCTTGAAAACTGTCTACAAGCTACAACTGGTCCAGAATGCAGCAGCACATGCATTGTTGGGAGCTCCCAGTTTCACCTTTGCACAAGCTGCAATAGCTCTCAGTTTCCTTCTAGGTCCAATTCAAATGCTAGTTGTCACATTTAAAGCCCTAAATGGAATGGGACCAGGTTATTTGCAAGACTGGCTTTCCCTGAGAGCATCTGCCTCCATCCTACTAGATCACATAGGATAGGCATACTTTCGGTCTTTCCTGAAATCTGCCATCTAGCAGATCATTGGAGATGTGCCTTTTCCAGGGCTGCTCTTACCTTGTGGAACACCTTCCCTTCATCTAGGTACTTGCAGGCTCTCCGTGAATTTGTTATAGCTGAAGCTCATGCAGTTGCAACCCTAATGAGTTTTGATTGTCCTCTGCTGAAGAACAAAAGGTGACCTTATTCTCCTAAGTTAGCTTCCTGCCTTATCACTGTCACAAAACTGTTTCATATCAGCTTGGAATTCAGCAAATTGTTATGCGAAAGTCTGGGTGCAGCATCATAAGACTATGACTTGTAAAGCACAATGGTTGGATCCAGCTATCATCCTAAATCCAGACTAGACCTTTTCCAGCAAGCATGGAAAAGAATGGAAAAATAAAACAACCCAGGGATAAACAGAGCAAATATCTTTCTAAGCCACTCAGAGTCACTAAGAGTGATTTTGGTGGCCATATAAATTTTCATAAATAAAGTTATTGATGAAATTCATTCTCCACTGGTTTAACTGGCCTTTTATAAATTTCATTTGCTGTAACTATAGCAAATTACGATGAAAATAATCACCTTTTGTCTAACTGAGCATCAATACAACAGGTTATGGTCTCACTTTTTCTAAAACTACATGGTTTATAGCTTTGATTTTAATGGGATTTTTCATACAGTATTTGATCGGTGGGCTCCCCCAATATAACATTACCAACATAACACTACCTTTGGCAAATTGGGTGGCATCCAATTTTGATAAACAAAATGGCATCAAATTAAAGTCTAAGCTAAGAAAATAGAGGAGCAGAGCTTTTTATGGTATTTCATTCAAGTGTTCTATAATCTAACTACTTGGAAGACAATTATTGAATTATAACAGCCTACCCCAGTATGCCTTACGCCAAAGACTATTGTCATCTTAGTGACCATGTTCATCATTACATATGCGTATGAAAAAGCAAACACTTTTTTTTCAGGATTACCCTAATAGCATTAAGAGATTATTTTTAAATTTTCATTGGAAGAAAATGCACTTAAACGAGATTACTTATTACTTGACTGGTTTCCTATCCTGCCATTTTATTTAGGTAAATAAAGTCCATAGGAGTATTATTTAAAACAAAACCACCACCAACCAAGCCCTGATTTTATACATTAATGATTTCAAATAAAAGAGAAGTCTTATACTTGTGCATGGGTGCTTTTGAAAAAGTTAAGTCTGATACTCTGGTTACAGGAGATAACACTTTTTGTTCTTCTTGGTGCTCTCCCTCCTCCATTAGTTGCTAATTACTTGGAAACAAATAAACAATTAACTCCTCTTGCCTCTTGGTGGGAGAATCTTCATTGACATGCTAAAACTTTCTAATAAAAGATTTTAATTAATGACGTGGAAAATCCAACCCCCTTGTTGCCAAAGCTATAAGAAAAGCCCTGTAAGTAAAAGCTGAATTATGGTGTGGGGAGGTTGGCAAAAGAATGGCAGGTAGATCGTTGTATGCTCATAATGCGGCTTCTTATAATCATCAGAATAAATCCAGTCTTGGGGAAGGCAAAAACACTTCCTTTTCGTTTTCTATTGAAAATATTTTGGGATTAGAGCGGGAAAAAGATGGCACTCCAACTGCAAAACCCCACAGGCCATGGGTGGATAAATGCAATCACTTAGGTAAGATGGACTTTAAGATTCACTTCAATATTTTCTTCCCTGTGTTCCTTTGCTTTAAATTAAAACCATGTTTAAATGTCAAACTAAAGAAATCAGATTGTTGTGTTTCAATTCTGTCTTGAGTTTAAACTACTCTATAACTAACATTTTGCTAGTTACCGTGTTTAAAATGCTTGTGACTTTTCAGGAGAAGATTGTTTGCCCTGCCTGCATCTCTCTTCAATATGCTATGCACTCCCTTTGTATAATACGACCAACTGCCGAAAAGCTGAAGAAAGAGTTTTGAAATGTGAAAACTATTTCACAGTCAATGAAAGATTTTCTTACAAAAGGGACTTGAGCTGGTACCGAGGTAGGAGACCAAGGACTGCATTCACTCAAATCCAGGTAGGGATTTAGCCCATTTAACCTATTCATGCAGCTAAGAATGGCTGTTTTGCTTCCTGCATTCTTTAATAAGGGGGCATTGATTAGAAAGAATCCAGAAATGCCTGTTTCACAAGAATCTGTACAATCATACATTTACTGAATAAAAAGATCCACAAATGTTATATCTAATCAGCATTCTGAGCTCAAAATAGCTTAATTGATTTCTATTGACTTGAAGTATTTTAGAATCTTACCCAGATTTTTATTAAAAGCTTTGGCTTTATCCTGAATGCTTAAAATATTTTGGCAGTGAAAACCAGCAAATAATAGAGTTGTTGTCTATTCTCTTTAGATAGAAATACTGGAAAATGTTTTTAGAGTGAACTCTTATCCTGGCATTGATGTTAGAGAAGAGCTGGCTCAAAAATTAGATTTAGATGAAGACAGGATCCAGGTAACTTTACATGTGTGTATTTATGTATCTCTACTTGTATTACTGGAATCTCAAATGTTACATCTGCTTAGCAAGAGTCATAATAGATGGGAATAATAACTGCCAATATTCTGACCCTGATTGAAGAAGTTAACAATACTAGTTCACTTTGAAATGTTATATGAAAGAAAAAATAGGGGATGTTATTATTTTTTTCAATTTTACCTTCTAATTCTATTTATGTTCGTAGTACAGTAATACCTGGATAATAAGGTAACACATTTAATATATATATCAGAAAAAATGTCTGTTGCTAAGACCTAATAAATAGGATCCATATTAATTCAAACTGAGTAAGTGGAATAAATTATGTATTTTTCTGAAAGATTTGGTTCATATATCACATTAACAGATGTGCTAAACAAACCACAATGATTTCTTTTAAGTAACACATTAAGCCACAAATAAGCTAAGTACACTACGGCTTCATGCAGTGTATGATGCCTAGAACACTGAGACAGATTTATACTTAAATAACTATATTTACCATTACAGCAGATGGCAGCATTTACCAAACCCAAGAGGCTAAGTGCCTGTTGGTATATGGCTAGAAAGCCCTAGGGCTCTAGGCTAAGGGTGGGTGGGGGGTTTAAAGAAAGATCCTAGAAAGAGGCCAGGTCAAACTGCTTTCTTGTTGATTGATGGTACGCCATCAAGTGGTTTTTTTACTCCTAGGGACCACACAGATAGCAAGAAAATTACAGGGATATGCTCATGAAGTCAGTAGCAGTCAAGTTTGATTCAAAAGTTATCTTTGCTTTTAAATGTGTTTAGGACTAAAACCTAAAACAGGGGTGTCCAATCTTGGCAACTTTTAAGATGCCAGAATTCAGCTGCCAGAATTCCCCAGATAGTCATGCTGGCTGGGGAATTCTGAGAGTTGAAGTCTACAAGTCTTAAAGTTGCCAAGGTTGGATACCCATGACCTAAAACACATCACTTCATCTTCTGGTTTTTAGGTTCACAAAATTTCTCTTTTCTAATAGGTAGATTTACTGGTAAGTAAGGCTTAGTGACTTACCATTTTGAAAAATCCCTTCTAAAAAATGTTGCCAAGAAAATTACAAGGGACTTGTCCAGGCAGCATCCAAAAATTGGACACAACTGAAAGGGGGGGGGGAATCTTAGTAAAGAGAATGGGACTTGTATCTAAGTAAATATGCAAAGATTTCCTAGGAGCAATCTTTAAAAATGCATGGATGTCCATGTAAACTCTGGAATGCATCTTGACCAGTGGTGGGATTCAAATTTTTTTTACTACCAGTTCTGTGGGCGTGGCTTGGTAGGCATGGCAGGGGAAGGATACTGTAAAATCTCCAGTCAGAGGTGGTATTTGCCGGTTTTCCGAACTACTCAAAATTTCTGCTACCAGTTCTCCAGAACTGGTCAGAACCTGCTGAATACCACCTCTGATCTTGACCGAAAGGTGATAATAATAACAGCAACAATAATAATTAGAACAGACTATCTGTCTAAGAATGCTAGCCAACATTTTAATTTAAAACAGATTATATAATCTTAAACCAATTAAAAATTACCTTTTTGTTTTTTCTGAATTCAACTTAACTGACTTTATCTTTTATTTAACTTAGTGAACATAAGGTATTATGTTTATATGTCAATACAACATTGTTGGCAATAGAGAGAGACATTGCTTCCCGCACTTGTGGTTCTTAGATGTCTGGATAGAATTCCATCTGAAGCTTTGCGCTTCACTGAAAATAATTATCTTTTGAAGCCAGTCCTATATAGCAGTAACTGTCTTGTGTTTGTTTGTTTGTTTGTTTATCAATCATATTTTGAAACCACCCATCTCCTCACTGAGTTTTCCTGAAGAAGTGTTGTTTCTCATGTTTTACTTTAATTTGAGACGAGAGTGCTATAACTCTGATGGAACGTGCTACTTATACCTAGAAGAATCTTGGTTCCCTTCTGATGTCTTAGAGCAGGGGTGTCAAACTGGATTTCTTTGAGGGCTAGATCAGCATTGTAATTCTTCTTTGAGGGCCAGTGGCGGAGGGGGGGGGAGGAAGAGACAGGACAGATGCCTCCTGCAGCACCTTGCCGGCCAAAACATGGCCCCGTTTTGGCTGGCAGAGTGCTACAGGAGGATGTTCAGGCTGAACCCCACCCACCCCTGTCCCTGTGCCCTTTTTTGGCTGCTAGAGACACTGTGGGCTGGTCCGTTGCTATTTCCAGACCGGCCATACGGGACAAATTAAAGCACTCTGCGGGACAGATCCTGCCTGCAGGCCTTGAGTTTGACATCCTTGTCTTAGAGTAAGGATAAGATCAAGTCTCACTCAAGCAGATAAGTTCTTTATTCTTTTTAAGCAGTTTCTTGTATTTTTACCTGCTGGAATTTTATTATAGTTTTAACCTTGTTTGCCAAAAGCTTCTTCTGTATTATTATTAAACACGTACTTTTTCTCTCAATTTTAGATCTGGTTTCAGAATCGCAGAGCAAAGCTGAAAAGATCCCACAGAGAATCACAGTTTCTAATGGTGAAAAATACTTTTTCTCAAACAATTATAAAATGAAAATAAATATATAGAATGCATTATTTTACTGTAGTAGATGAATTCCTCATAAACCACAATGTGTTATCAGAGATTTATCATGTTAAGATAGGTTTCAGTATTATTTTACATGATTTTTTTACATGTAATGATTTCATTGTAAAAGTAAACAATAAATATTATTGTTTCACGACTTGTGTGATGAAAGCAGATTTCTGCAACTAGTTTAATAGGTTTTTTTCAGAAGGAAAGAAGACAAAACTCTGCAGTTTTTGTAGTTCACTGTCTTAAGTATTGGTGACGTATCATTGAAAAATCATTAAAAAATTTCACAAACCTCAATGCAGTATCATAGGAGGTTCTTTATACTGATTTTCTCCATATCCATGCCAATGACCTCTAAAATGCAATGTATGGGAATGTGGAATGCAATCCAAAAATTTCATATGGAAAACACATTACCCAAATTTCAGTACCTGTAGGGAGTCCTGCCAAGGCAGAATAATTCCTCAGCAACAGCCTTTCAGCTTCCACAAAAATTGATCTGGAATTAAGGATCGTTTTCTGCAGAATGCTTTCTATAATCAAGGAATAGTTGTGTTAATTACGGTGCATTTTACACACATACACACATGCACACACACACACACACACACACAAGTATATGTAACACACACTCACACACACACACACACACACACACACACAAGTAAAATATTCCACTTGGCACATATATTTTGGAAGTTGGTAAAAAAAAATATGTATACAAGTGATACAAGTGAACAAAGTAGCAAAATACTACAAAAAAATCTTAGTTGATTTACTGTAGGCTTATAATCTTGCTATATATTACTGAAAAACTGGTTTCTTCTTTCATAGATTGAGCAAACCATAACATGGTTTGTTTCTTTTTGGTAGCATGTGCTAAAACAGTTAATTTAATAATTTAATAAGTCACAATTAAAATGGTTTATCACAAGAAATACACCCAGTTTGGTCAGAAATTTGATTTTAAAATGTGGCTATTGTGGGGAAAATGGTAGGCGGGAACATTATGTGCACCATATTCAATTTTACAAAGTGCAGTAAAATTGGGATATTAATAATTATAAATATCTGAAGGAATCATCTCAGAGTATTTTGCTCTCTTTTTCTTGCCCAATTACAGTACTAGCTAGTATCTGAAGTCACATATCTTAAAGTGGAGACCTATTGTTTTCTTGGGTTTGTTTCCATATTAAACATATGCTCAACATCTCCAACCTGGTGTCATACAGATCTGGCTACAATGACAAATCCAAGAATTGTACAATGCTGTAGACTCTAGGTGTCATAATTGAGAAAGCTGCTATAAATATTTGGAACTGCGAAACTGATTTGGGCTATTCATTCAAAGCTAAATCATTTTTATGAGTTATGGCTTATGGTACCAGACTCATTAAGTGCATTTGTTTGTTCTACTAGGCTTATATGCCTAGTAGATGTGCATATATGTATTTACCACACCACAACTTCATCCTAATTGCTTTCTTTGCTTAGTTTACTAATTTTAACATGTTCCCCGCTTTATTTTTAACTTCATAATGATGGACTTGTTTTGCACAAAGATATTTATGTATTTTAAACATTTGCTTTAGGCATATTTTTCTGTAGAATTACTGGATTTCCACAAGGATGCCATTCCACAAGGATGCCTGATCCAGGAAAAATCAGGCCCTTTTGACAAGTTGATTATTTTGAGCCGTATATTTTCTTTTTTTTTCTTTTTTTCCAGTTTATTTTATTTCCTTGAGGATTTGTTTTACCTCAGCAGTTAACATTGCATTTTATAAATATATACTAAAAATACATTCAAGTAACTTCATTGATGCTTACTCCTAAATATGAATACTGTACATGCTAGCACTGAAGTTTTCATTGTCCTGATAAAAATAAAATCAAGGCTGTACCTGAAGCAATTTTTCCACCTTTTCTCTTTATGAGTTGCTTTGCCATTTCCATGCACTGAGTTGGTCACTTTCCTCACTAGATAAAGTATATATCATAAGTGTTGAAATGCAGCACCATGAAATTCAGATGTTTGTCTCAGATGATAAAAATAGTAATCCAGGGATTGGGTATGGCACATATGTTCCATTATCCAGCATGTTGAAATACAAACTAGATAAAAATAGACAAAATTAGAACAATCAGATAAAAATAGTTTTACTAGTGAATTACTATGTAATCACTTCAACAAAACTGGTGATGTAAGTTTAGCTGAGACCTAAGTTGGCCTGATAAAGTTTTGTCACAATATGGAATGTAATTGTAATTATTTAACTTACTTCCATGGAAAATAATTACTTATATGTATGCTTTTATTTTAATCTGAAACTCTCTGTTTATATAGTATTATGTGGTTGTAATCTTTATTCTTTTCATACTGTATTTAATGGTACATTTGATTAAGAAGTATTCATAGGATGTATATGCAATGATCCTACAAGCATAGTAATTATACTTTTTAGAAATCCATTGTACGTGGAAACCAGATCATGGCTTAGCCAGAACCTTTCTTCTCACAGTCCCATCTGCAATATGAAGAGGACCTCCATGTATCTATTGCTTATATGAAATGGAGGTATGAATCTAAATTTTCCAATCTAAGCCAGACATAATAACCAGCACCCACATTTATTTATTTATTTATTTATTTTTATTTGATTTGCCAATTGTTTACAAGATAATAAGTATAAGTGTATACATAGTTGTGAATACATGAAATGGGTACATATAAGAAAAATAAAAGAAGAATAAGAGAAACAATAGGACAGGGACGGTAGGCACGTTGGTGCGCTTATGCACGCCCCCTACAGACCTCTTAGGAAAGGGGTGAGGTCAATAGTAGACAGTCTAAGGTTAAAGTTTTTGGGGTTTGGGGAAGAAACTACAGAGTCGGGTAGAGTATTCCAGACATTGACCACTCTATTGCTGAAGTCGTATTTCCTGCAATCAAGTTTGGTGCGGTTAACTTTGAGTTTGTATCTATTGTGTGCTCTTGTGTTGTTATGGTTGAAGCTGAAGTATTCATTGACAGGTAGGACATTGCAATGTATGATTTTATATACCATGCTTAAATCAGACCGAAGACGGCGTAATTCAAGGTTTTCTAGTTCTAGAATTTCAAGTCTGGTGGCATAAGGTATTCTGCAACGAGTAGAGGAGTGGAGAACTCTTCTTGTGAAATATTTCTGGACTTTCTCAATTGTGCTAATATCAGATACGTAATGTGGGTTCCAGACTGATGAACTGTATTCGAGTATTGGTCTAGCAAATGTTTTGTATGCTCTGGTTAGTAGTGTGATATTACCAGAGAAAAAGCTACGTAGGATTAGGTTAACAACTCTTAATGCCTTTTTGGCTATGTAGTTGCAGTGGGCTCTAGCACTTAGATCATTAGAGGTGAGTATAAAAATTGGGTGGCTATAAGGAGTCGCAGAAAAAGAAACTACTTCTGATTTTCTACCATTTTTTTTTTCATGTAATTTCAGCATCTCACAAATGCAACAGGACATTATAGGCAAGGTAAAAAATACCTTTTGTGGTTTAACTTTCACCCCTCTTGTGGCAAAGTATAGACTTGCAAGGTCTGCACTATGTCTTAACTCAAATCATGGCTTAATATTAGGGAATACAGCAGAATATAATCTTGGTAATTGGAAGGTTTACTGTTTTGAAATGCAGTCTTGTTTTATTTTAGGATTATTAACAATTATAGGATTATTAACTATTTGTAAAATGTGAAATAAATGGACTTAATTGTTAATAAATTAATTGTATAAGACATTTATAACAGAATAACGTAAGGGACCTTGCAGGTCTTCTAGTCCAATCCCTTGCTCAAGCAGGAGATCCTAAACCATTTTAGACAAATGGCTATCAAGTCTCTTTTTATAAGTCTCCGGTGATGGAGCACCCACAACTTCCAAAGGCAAGCCATTCCACTGGTTTATTGTTCTGTCAAAAAATTTATCCTTAGTTCTGGGTTGCTTCTCTCCTTGGAGAGTTTCCATCTATTGCTTCTTATCATGCTTTGGAAAATAGGTTGATCCCCTCTTCTTTATGATAGCACCTCAACTATTATAACACTGTTATCATGTGTTTCTCCATCAGTCCTTCTTTTCACTAGACTAGAAATACCCAACTCCTGCAACTATTCTTCACATATTTTAGTCTCCAGCCTTGTTGCTCTTCTCTGCACTCTTTCCAGAGTCTCAGCATTTTTTTTTAATATTGTGGTGACCAAGTTAGTTTTACCAAGTCTTTATAAAGTAGTATTAATACCTCAATGTGATCTTGATTCTATCCCTCTGCTAATACAGCCTAGGATTGGACTGGCTTTTTTGGTGACTGCAGCACATTGTTGGCTCATATTTAAATGATTGTCCACTAAGACTCTTATGAAAGGTTGCTTTTTTATTACATAACAGCCTTTTTGTTTTAATGTTTCTTTTTTTCCATATAACAATGATTTTTTTTTAAAAAAAAAGTTTAGGATGAGAAAGTAAAATTATTAATATGGTTTGATGAAAAACTGCCAAGCGTTGGCTTATTGTGATTATTGAATAGCACATAAGATATAACAATAATCACAATATGTAAATCTGGTCCTAATGTAATTTTATAGAATTATACATTGATACAATTAGTGAGCACATCCCAATACTGAATGGGCAAGCCCAACTGATTCCAAAATGGCCCACATATAGCAAAACAAAGGGGTCTTCCATCCCTCCCACTTTCCAGACACCCAATACACAAATTCTCCTCAGATAGGAAGTCAACCTAAATAACATGCAGGCTGGGGGAATGACAGTCAGCTCCTTCCTTCTGGCCAGAGAGAACAAACCTTTAATCCCTAGCTAAAGAAGGAGGATAAGTAGTGCTTTGCCTGATGAAAACCAAAAAAATTTCCCGGTCTCTTTTTGTTTAAAATGCTGCCTTGGGATGTAAGAAGGAGAATGCTAGAAAATATACCACCCCCCCCAAAAAAAAAAAAGAAATTGAGGAGAAACAACAGAGAAATCACTGGAATATATAGCTGGGGGGAAAGAAAGCAGAAGATCGCTATGAATTAGAAGTTTTGGATTGGTACCTGAACATTTCCAGGGAAAAATA